GGCCCCAATATTTGAAATGCAATAGTCATTCATGTGGTCCATGTGGTGGACAGTTGGACGCACCCAGTGTTGTCATCAGCGACCACAGCACCACCACCGATGAGGTCAGTCACTCCACACCACTGTCCTGTCCATGAAAACACCTGAAAAGTAATTTACAATTCCTATGACAGAGGGATGATGTGTCCATAAGTGATGGTCAAGAGTCCAGTGAGTTATCGCTGGCCATCGAAACCTATTTGACGCGTGAGTCTAATAGTCACCTCCGGCGCGACTCTATTAGTAGCATATCTTCGAGCACTTCCAGCCTCTCGTCGTTAGGCGAAGAAGATTTCGTTGAACACGACTTGCAAACGACGTGTAAATTATCACCGGTTAGTACTCTGTCTTCATATTTGTGTCACAAGTCATTGCAAATGATGTCTTAATGACTGACTTTCAAATCAGTTTCCTATTTAGGAATTTTATAAATACTTCAATAAGTATTAAATTAATTGCTTAAACCATGGTTTGAATATAAATGCATTGAAAGCAATCATTGATTTATTATTTGCAAATGAGATATTTTGTGATAAAACTAATTTTACACAATTTATAAATACTTCAATAAGTATTAAATTAATTGCTTAAACCATGGTTTGAATATAAATGCATTGAAAGCAATCATTGATTTATTATTTGCAAATGAGATATTTTGTGATAAAACTAATTTTACACAAATTTAATAATAATTCTTAAAAATCATTCATTTCCTGGTAATGCATAATATTAAAGCATTTAGTTAGCAAATTATAAATACAGTGACAAGTTTTTTAATTGCATGTTACGGCAAGTTATATTTAAGTTAAACAAAATTTTTATTTTTATTAAATGATAAATCATTATTTGCGTTACAACTCTGTTAACGTCTTTTGATTTTTAAATGGTCTGATGTTTGTTTGAAAAGTTTTATAATTATTTGTGAAATTGCTTCAGTACCGTATTCTCGTATAAAGTTGTATTAAAAGTGAAATTCAATAGTTTTGAACATGGGCAATTGGGCACTACTTAAATGTATGATCAAAGTGTTTGTTTACAAACAAAATAATTGAATAAAATTAGATGGATATACAGACAATTAGAAATGAGTGAATTGTATAAACATGATTA